AGAGGTGCAATTGGCTCCCCCACTCCTGGCCTTCCGTAAGGCTTTGAAGACCTGGGTCTGCCACTTGGCCTGGGGTAGGGAGGGAATACCTCACGCATGGGGATGGCTAGCCCCATAGAGGCCTTCTGCCTTCAGCCTCAGATTTTTCACCCTCTTGGACTCTCCTTCTCCTTTTTAGTAATGTTTATAATTAAGGTTTTATGTATTTATATATTTTATGTTTTTAATGTTTGTTGTGAATCGCCCAGAGTTCCCCCATTGGGAGGAGATGGGCGGTTGAAAAATGTAATTAATAAATAAATAAATAAATAAATAAATAAATAAAGTCCCACATACGAGAACCTGAGACTGGGTTGTGTGAAAATGTGAAACTAGGCTGAAGTTGCCATAATCTAAAAACAGAGAAGGCATGTATGCAGAGAGGACAAAAGGTAGGAATCTTGTCAAAAGACCCTTTCATGAGTTAGATGAGAAAGAATCAAGTTATTAAGGATCAAAGGAGAAATGTTATCAGAAGACAGTCAAAGGAGCCTGGGGGAGGTGGGCACTGACCACAGGAAAAAAATCCTAATCCCATCAACAGCTACCAGACTTGTGAATCAGCAAAGCAAGGGCTTTAGAGGATAAAAGGGAAGCCCACCCACTCTTGGAGTTGTTCTGGATCCAGACTTGGTAGCTTCCATCCCTCTAGCTAGTAGTACACAGACAGCCTAGTTGAGAAGGATGGTGGCAAGTGGGGATGAGCATGTGGGTGAGAGAGAGACAGAAGGAATATCCAGTGAAGTTTTGCTGCAACTTTGAATTCATCAGGTCTCCATGTATTTCATCAGAACCTTATGGACCCCAGTATTCAGTTGATTTGTGTGTGTTCCTAAATATTTTCTGGCTATTGACCAAGGCTGTGTGTTTCATACACTCTAGATCCATCTATCTGGAAACCCAGGTAGAGAGCAGGAGAGGGCTGTGAGATCTGCATGCCTCAACAGGCTGTATGTGCACAAGTGAATGACCACAAGCCAAACCTGGATGTGCACATAACACACACAACTATACTAACACATACTCTTCTGGGGAAAGAGATACGTTTTCAATGCTCTTTTAAAGTGGTACAGTAAGGATCACACAAATCTCCAGGGGCATGCTGTTTCAGAGGACACACATAATAACAGAGAAGGTCTGTTCCTGGGTCCTGCTAGATAGTATTGTTTAGTCAATGGGACCCAGAATCAGCCAACTGTATCAGATCATACTATATAGGCAAAAACCACAGGAAACAAATGGTTCCTTAAG